CTTCCTTCCTTCCTTCCTTCCTTCCTTCCTTCCTTCCTTCCTTCCTTTCTTCCTTCCTCCTTCCTCCTTCCTCCTTTCCTTCCTTCCTTCCTTCCTTCCCTCCCTTCTTCCTTCTTTCTTTCTTTCTTTCTTTCTTTCTTTCTTTCTTTCTTTCTTTCTTTCTTTCTTTCTTTCTTTCTTTCTTTCTTTCTTTCTTTCCTTTTGCTGCCAGAATGACTAGGCAACTTATATCTCTTGGTGCTTCTAAAGATAGATCATCCCAACATCCCCTTTTTCTCACCATTTCTCCTGTCATTTTTTGCTACTGAAAAAATATGTTAAGGAGGAAAAGATGGAATAGCTGTAGCATGTCTTTTGATTGTTAGAGCTTTCCATCTGGAAGCTCCCTGAAATGTATTCTGCTTTGTAAAATGCATTCAGCTCATTTAGATTTCATGGGTATTTCATTTTCAAATAAATTTTGCAGCATATGATTTCTGCGAATGAAGTGAATGGAAATTAGTGCCAGGCAGAGGATTCATTCTGATTTTTTTTTCTTAAACTAGTTCTTGCTGGAAAGAGAATTTACTTTAGAAATTCTTTTGTAGGAAGATTGGGTATGGATTGTGGTGTTTCTGAACTTGTTTGTTGATGAAGTAGCCAAGGTCTCTGTGAAACTGCCCTTTCATTCTACATTTATCCAACCCTACCCAACAATTTGTAGTCTCCTTGACTTCCCATGTTTACATTACAACCAGGAGAAGACGTTAGGACAGAAATCTTTGGATTCGGCATTCATTTTTAGGAAGTGAGAAAAGGCAGGGAGACTTCTGCATGATGGAAAAAACAAATTCAGAAAAAGATAATAAGATCAGAAGCTTATAAAAGAATCCAGTGAGAATCCAGAATCTCTGATTCCCACTGTGATGATGTTCCAGAAGACAGTGAAAAGCTACTCTCTCAGGTTTTGGAGTAGGGTAGTTGGTGAGCCATGGCAAGATTTTATATGATGTTGTATCCTCATACATCATCATCATCATCATCATCATCATCATCATCATCATCGAAACTAGAAAGTCTCAGATCTACCTTAAGTGAACACACACACACACCAAGGATTCTAACAATTTGATCATATTGTTTTAAGAGTCTTTGAAACGGAAGTCTATGTGTTAAAGTGGGCATGATATAAATGATGCAAATTTAAATGAATTTATCTGGAAGGTCCACATGCATTAGTGTCATCTTTATTAATCAAAAAGAAATTAATCACCATGAACATTCTTAGCACATAAACATGGTGAGAATTGTACCCATTTTTTTGAGCTATATAATATGCACTTGGAAATACACCAAGGTGGTAACATAAAACATCCCTTGATACTGGTGTATGCTGGTGGGTAACAGGGAACAACTTATCCTCCTGGAATATACTATATATACTCTTGAACCCCATTCTGATTGTGTGTACATTATACGCAGAAGCCAACTTATGTCCACACAACCCAAAAAGCCAATCGCACTATAGCTTTGCACATTGTACAAACCTAGCCTGTGTATTTAATTTAGGCTTGACTCCCATAAAACAGGATTTATATGATGTTTAGGTAGGTTAACATCTCCTGAGAACAAAGCTATTTGCCCACAGCTTGCTCCTAGCATTTCAGATGATACCTACAAGCCCTGAAACTTCTGTTTTTAAAGTTAAAATATTAAGTGTATAGTTTAATATTGTGTGGGTCACCTTGAAGATCGTTATTCCAAAAGGAGGGATAAAAATAGATTAAACCATACCCTACCAGGAACCATTGAAAGGACTGGATACGCTTAGCCTGGAGGAGAGAAGACATATGTCTTCAAATATCTGAAGTGCTGTTGCACAGATAGGGGAGGTTTATCATCTGGAATGCAGGAATGGAAGTGCTGCTTAGAAATGGCAGGGATGAGCGTTTCACGAAACATTAAGAGAATATTAACAATAATAGCTGCTCAATGGAACAGACTGCTTTGTGAGCAGGAGGGTTGACCCAGCTTTGATGGAATTCAAGCCATGTCTGGAAGGACAGTTTTTAATTTTAACTCGAAGGGTATTTAAGGACCATGACTAATCTATATAAAGTCTGCTTTGAAGCCAATTTTCTCTTCAAAGTATCATTTCTCTTGTATATCCTTTTGCTTTCTCTGATGATACTGGTTCAGATCCTTTCTGTTCCGAAACTCAGAGGGATATTCTTTTTTGTTATTTCCTGAATTGGGTTTCACAGCTACTCTGGCTCCATGCAGCAAAGCCCATTGCAGTTTTTTAAAATTTGATTTTTATTGCATTTTCCACCAATACAGACCATATTCACAGTTTCCACAGCAGTTTGACATCTACACACACTCTTATTTTATTGTTTCTACAGTATTTTACACATATCAACCAATAACTGTTATCTCTATCTATATTAATGTATCTATTTGTATATTTACATACATATCTACGCACCATTCTTTTAAGGTCTTTTCTAGTTAATCTTCGCTTCCTGTTTTTTATCTCTATTTTCTAACCATTCGTACCACTTATGCCAAATCGAGTAATAATCAGAATCCTCCTTTTCTGTCATTTTTAGGGTAAGCATGTCCATTTCTGCA